TTTTCATAATTATTTCCTACTTTCATGACGTTTGATAATAAAGTTGAGTATCTATAATCTTAACTTTGGAGAAGCGAGTATATAAAAAAACGCTATATTATGCATTAAAGGTTTAAGAAGAAGCCAGCAAAAAAAGGAGAAATAAATCTATTATCTAGGAACATTAACATTACCCTCGAAATAACAATGTCCGTGCAATAGACTAGTAATTAAATAAATCCAAGTTTTAGTTGAATTGTCAAGTAAATACGAGGGTAAAGGAGAAGAGATGGAATACACTTAGGGATAACATTAGGAAAAGGCTTAAAAAGATAATTTTTTATAGTTGAGTCACTCAGGTATGGTTGAACTTTTCAACGTGGAAGACCTTCATGCAATGTCAGGGTTTATCATCTTCAACATTGGATTTTTCGTTAGAAAAATTAACGGATTTTTAAGTGACCGACCAAATAGAAACACAGGACAAACTTTATTGATTACTTCGAAAGAAAAGGAAGTTCATATCTAACACCTAAATTCGCTATAAGTCGGGCGACTTAACAATCCTTTTAACTCATTAACCATATCAATAAATCCTTATCTGCTCACTTGATTTACATATAAAGGACTGATAATTGACAATCATACATTGTCATATACTTTGCTCTCAGTTGTGATAATTTAGCGTAGATAAGCATCCAACGGCTATCACGTCAAGTTGGTCAGCAAATTATACTTTTTAGCATCTAAATTCCTAACTTTTCAAGTTTGTAATAGTTTTATCCACAATCTACGGTTAAAAATCACATGATTGATTTTTCGAATGGTAGGATGAGCATACGGGGTTGTTTGACAAAGTTTTTGATAAACTTTTTAACAAATTTTGATGAAAATTTTAGCATGCCCTGATTCCCTTCCCCCCAACCCTGCTCCCCCCGTTTAGTTTACCATTCTGTAGTTTGCCCTCGCCACTCCCTTTCCTCGTGGGACAGGTAATTTAGGAGGAGGGTAAGAAATTTTTTATTGTTGTTTTGTCTTTGGTTAATTTATCGAATTTAGTTGAGGCTGAACTGAGGTCTCAATTCAATTTTTCGAGGACTGTAATTTCCTACCATTTCAAAACTAGGCTCATAGATTCCATTGGCACATCCCTTGTACGTGTACTTTTCTTATGCTATATTGCCCTTGAAAAATAACTAAAAAATTACAAAGACACACCACATTTCAAAGTAACAACTTTTGAACAAATATATTTCAGAATATTTTTAAACAAAATTATACAACCTTTTTTAATAAGCTTACATAGACCACATGATAGGAGGGTTTTTCAAGAATTCATCAAAATTCATAAATAAAGCAAGAAACCCTCATTTCTATATCTTTATGTGTATTTATGGCATGTTTGGTAAAGATGATTTGATGATACTGACAGTATGACGGGAAAAAATAAGCTAACAACTTATTTATCATACTATCATAATGTATCCAGTACTACATATCAAATATGCACTTAGGGACGCTCTTCTAAGTGATCAGCTTCCACTCGTTCAGTTTCTGTTGCCGTCTCCTTTGGCGGCTCCTTCTCCCCTGACTTCGTCCCTGTCTCCTCCTCGACAGCTTCCACATTACTACCACTTCTCCTATGCGCAGATTTGATGTGCTGGTAGTTTCCTTTCTCCATGAAGAGCTGCTGAAAATGGTGTTTGCAGTATAGAATTCCATCAAGAGCAGCATATGATGAATGTGTAAGGGGACAGCCACCGTGAGCACACTTGAAGCATGACTTGTGATATGATTCTCCCTCCATAGTCACCTGTTTGGGATGTACAAATTCAAGAAAAAATGGTTAGGAAATACGACTATCTCTTGTTTGGTTTAGCTAAAAATTAGATTTTGATAAAA